AAAGACTCTTTTTTTTTCACTAACTCAACAAACAACTAAATATAAATCTAGAGGCAAACTACAATGAAAGATAAGGATCCAAAACAAGAATAACGAATCTGATTTTTTTTTACTCAAACAAGAACAATAAAACTGACTCTCTTTTTATTTTTCTTTTTGATTCAAATAATAAAATAAATTACTGGAAGGTAAAGATAGATGACTTGAAGTCAAGAACCTGGCTCTAATGCCAACTGATGTGAACCCCGCCAAGAATATATTTTGGGAACCCACGAACAAGTTGAAACCAACACAAGAAAGCTAGAAATCACGTCTCTCAATAGCAGCCCGACCCGTTGTTCGACCCGTATGAAGAACCAAGATGACGCGTTAGAGATTTGACTTGATTATCCCGAACAAGAACCGTGAAGTGGGAACGCCACAACACATGTCACAAAATGGCCACAACACAGGTCACAAAATATTTCAAATGGCCACAACACAGGTCACAAAATATTTTGCATATGGCTCATGTTTTTTTTTATATTCACAAGTTAATTTCAAATGATCACAGCGCGGGTTACATGTTTTTTTTTTGCACATGGCTCAATCAACCAAATAATTGGTCGCTACTCACAATCTTGAATATATTACAAGTCACAGTATTGGTTACAATAAACCAAATAATTGGTCGTTGCTCACAATCTTGAATATATTACAGGTCACAATATTGGTCACAATAAACCAAATAATTGGTCACAGACACCAGGCCCCATCTCATCCCACCCACAACCATCTCTACGATCGCCACGACCACGACCACGACATGATGTCACTGTCAAACACACAGCATCGCCGTCAAACACACAGCATCGCCAACACCACGATCACATCCAACATAACATGGCATCACCTGTTACTGCAATTTTGCAAGTCACAATAACTGTACAACACCACCTCATTGCCACCACCGTCTCACATACCCAAACTGATGCGAACTCAGCTAAAAATATATTTTGGGAACCCACGAACAAGTTGAAACCAACCCAAGAAAGCTAGAAATCACGTCTCACAATAGCAACCCAACCTGTTGTTCCACCTGTATTAAGAACCGAGATCATGTGTTAGAGATCTGACCCGTTGATTACTAGGACCAAGAACCATGAAGTGGGAACGCCATAAAAGGACTGTGATTCCTTTTGATAAGTTCAAGGTTAGAACTTTAAACAACCAAGAAAATGGACAAATAAACTCCCAAATTTATATTCAATCTCAAATAATGTCAAAAGTCTTCTTTTCAATGTAAAAGAAAAAACCTATTTATACTAAAGTATGAACGAAACCTAGTTGTCATGAAATTGGGCCCAAAATATGTTAAAAGATATTAAAAGATAGAATTTAAGTCTAAATAGGAAACTGGGAAAATTCTCGTCCACTATGGCGCAGGGGCACCCTTTTGTGGCGCGGGGGCGCTAGTACCCCTTGCTTCATCTTCAGTCATTCAAAAACACAAGAGAGAGTTTATGAATGTGGGAAAATGGGAATAAGAAGAGAGATCTTGCATATTAGACAGAGCAACGAACAAGATGTGGGAATCAACACTAAGCAAACAAACGAGTTGATGGAAATTTCTTGGATTAATGTAGGGACTTTGGCTATTGGCAAAGAGACAAAACCAAAAAAAACTTGAGGTGGTTAAATTGAAAGGAGACACTGATCCGGATAGAGTTGATAGTGATGTGAGAGAGGAAGGGAAAATAAGATATGAAGCTGATTATCTGATAAAGCAAAATAAGGAAGGTAATATGTAGGAAGAAGTTGAAGTACAAAACAATTTTGAAAGAGAAAATTTTAATGAAAAGGACAGTGAAATGAAGAATGCTAGGTTTAATGGCTGATTCAGGAGCTACTAAGAAAGCCTCACATTTGGCTAAAGAAGTTGAGGATGTTGTGGAGGTTGTTGTGGAAGATGTGGTGATGGAACTAAGGGAATTAGAACCATAGAGTGATAATCATGCTGCAGTGGTGACAGAGGTACTAGAGTTAGAAAACAGAACCTAACCGCAGACTAAAAATCCAGAGGATATAGAAGCCCCTTCTTTATATGAGACACTTTCGGATGGAGAGGAGGAAAATCCATTGAGGAGTTTGAGAAAGGATAGAGGCTACAGTTCTGACATAAATGTGAATTTGCGTTTGGCAAAGACTAACAAGCAAGAGATAAAGGTAATGAGGGGATCACAACGTGTGAGTAGTCATCCCTCCAAACTAAATTTATGATAGACACAATCTTAGTTTGAAATGCACGAGGTATATGCATATCTAGGAGGAGGTTGAAGAGTTTGGTTTGTAAACATAATGTTCATTTTCTTGCGATTTTGGAACCTTTTGTGGATGAAAGTCGGCAAAAAGTAGCCTATTTCCTAGGCTTCGACAACTTCTGTTCGAATGAAGCTATGGGTAGTAAAATCTAGGTTTTTTGGAATAATATTTATGAGTTTAAAGCTGTTGGCATGTCTGACCAAATGGTGACATGATAGTTTTGTGATGAACGAAAGAAATTTCTTATTTCTTTTGTATATGCAAAATGTAGTCAAAATGAATGACGAGAACTTTGGAAAAACCTGGAGGATTTTCAAACTGATGACTTTCCATGGATAGTGGCAGGAGATTTTAACATTATTCGTGAGGATGGGGAAAGAATTGGAGGTCACCCAAGATCTTTGTCAGCAATGGTGGGATTTAATTCTTGCCTTGACAATTGTGGTCTAGTGGAGATGAGAACACCTGGTAGAAGTATATCTTGGTACAATGGTCGAAATGGTCAAGCAAGGAGCTGGGCTAAGCTGGATCGATGATGGTAAACTCGATTTTCTGACTGAACATAATTCATGTGATATGGAGCTCCTAACCAGGAAAAGTTCTGACCACTGTCCCATACTATTCCATTTTAACAAAGCTTTCTTGAGGTATGGTCCATTACCTTTTAGATTTCAGAATATGTGGAGTACTCCTGACACTTTCAAATAGATGGTTACTGCAGTTTGGAAGAGCTGGAGAATAGTGTAGGACTTTGGAAGTTGGTAGCTAAATTGAAAAAAACTAAGTTGGCTTTGCAAAGTTGTAATAAACTAGTTTTTGGCCATGCTACTTATCACATTAAGGAGCTGGAGGAAAAAGTTGAGGTGCTGGAAAATCAATGGCAATTTGGTTTTGATCAGAATTTAGAGAGTAAACTTCTTGCCACTAAGGTAAGGCTTTAGCTTTAGGAGAATAGGGAGGAGATTAGACTAGCACAAAAAGCAACTAAGAAATGGCTGGCAGAAGGCGAGCAAAATTCTAATTTTTTTCATACAATTGTTAACCAAAAGAGAAGGTCTTCACAAATCTCTTCCATGCGTTTGACTAATGGGACAGTATTAGCTTTCCCAAAAGAGGTTCATAATGGTGTTGTTAATTATTTTGAACATATTTTATGCAATAATGGGACAAGTTAGCAGGGAGAGTTGGATTCCATTATTTCTGTTGTTGTATTGGTGGAGGACAATGAATTGCTATACGTGGAACCAATAGAAGAAAGGTGAAGGATGCATTCTTTTCCATACCAGCAGGTAGAGAATTTTTTAGAGGTAACTTTCTACCAAGATTTTACACATCTTCATTCATTATCTTAATTCCGAAAGTGGATAAACCTGAGAGCTTTGATAAGTCCAGACCTATCAGTCTACGCTCAGTGGCTTACAAAGTTTTTTCGAAAATCCTCGTCACGCGCATGAAATGGTTTCTCCCCCAAGATTGTCTTTCCTGAACAGGGTGCATTTATTCCAGGGAGAATTATTTTTGAGAGCATCACCCTTACTCAGGAAATGGTCCATTCTTTGAACAGGAAAGGTAGAGGTGGTAATATTATACTAAAAATTGACATGGCAAAAGCTTATGATAGAGTAGATTGGAGGTTCTTATTATGTGTGCTTGAAGTGTTTGGTTTCTCTAAAAGGTTTTGTGACTTTGTGGCTATGTTACCACCCCTTGGTTCTCAGTAATGATGAATCGGACCTATAAAGGTTTCTTCAAATCATGTAGAGGGCTCTGTTAAGGTGACTCTTTATCTCCTTATTGGTTCATCATTATGGAAGAGGTTTTATCACCTATGGTACGTTAAAGGTTTGAAGATGGCAGAATTGCAAGGTTCTAGCACCCTGTTGCGGCTCCTTTAGTTTCACATCTATTATATACTGATGATGTGGTGGTGTTTACGTATGGAGGTAGACAATCTATGAAATTGCCGATGAAGACTCTGAACACTTATGAAAAGTGGTTGGGACAATTAATAAATATTGAGAAATCGACTATTTTCTTTTCTAAAATGATCAGCTATTCAAGGAAGAGAGGGTTGCTTCAGTTAACTGGTTTTAAGAAGGGACTTTTCCAATGTTTTATTTAGGGGTGCCTATTACCTCGGGTCGTCTTATGGCTAGACATTTGGAGACTTTGGTTGCTAGAATTCACACTGAGACAACAGGTTGGAAAATGAGGCTACTTTTTCAAGGGGTCATTTTATTTTAGTCCGTCATGTCTTGTCCTGTATGGCGACACATCTATTGTCTGTAGTTAATGTGCCGAAGAAAGTTTTCAATAATATGAATTCCTTATTATCCACGTTCTTTTGGGGTGAGAGTAATGGAAAATAGAAAAAGAAATGGCATGCTTGGTCTACTATTCGCATGCCAACTATAGAGGGTGGACTTGGGGTACGTGATTTTGCTACAATTCAAAGAGCTTTCCATATGAAACTTGCATGGCACCTTATGACCACTAACAGTTTGTGGTCTAGTTTCCTCCATACCAAATATGTTAAGAGTGGACATCTCTTACTGAACTCTAATAATAAAGGGTCCAATTTGTGGAAATCAATTGTAAGGTTCTTCCTGAGGTATATGAGAATTCGAAATGGATGATTAGATATAAGTTGGCATCCTTTTGGTATGACCGCAGGTTAGCAAGTGGCTTTTTAAGTGAGTATGTTCTGGAGGTATCTAACCCAAGACTTCAAGTTAGAGATTATTGGATTGAAGACATCTTGGATATGGAAAGCTAAGTTTAATTGTTTAAGTGTGGACTCGAGGATGAGATCAACAGGGGTTGCTCTAGCTTCACGATGTGATTGTTGTGATACTAGACAAGTGGAAACACTTGATAATGTGCTCAATTCTGGTAATATTGCCAAAATAGTTTGGAAATGGGCCTCTTTGGCCTTGGGAGTGCACTACTTGGAAGCACAATTATGGTGGACTAGAGTTAATCGATGGTTTACACGTGCTAAAAAGGTTTCACAGCGTGTAATTTTAATCGGGCTATTACCAAGTTTGATAACATGGAAGCTTTGGGGACGTCGATGCAAGGCACGTATGGAAGGGAATCGAGAATCTGCAGAGGAGGTATGGTTTGCTATAAAGGCTTGGTTGCGTCTCCTTGTTGAAGATATAGTTAAAGTTTCAAAGCTAAGCAACACAAACCATGAATTTCTCAAAGCTTTAGAGCTGCTTGTGGTTTCTAAGCTGAGTAAACCAACTCTTTTTGTTTCTTGGAGGAAAGCTACTGCTGGTTGGGTAAAACTCAATGTATATGGGAGTTCTGTTGGCTATCTTGGACCTTATGGAGGCGGGCGAGTGATTAGGGATCATTGTGGAAATTTGGTTGCTAGTTTCTGTGTTAAATATCGTCATGGAAGCAACAATGAAGAGGAATTGCGTACTGTCATTTATGGGGTAGAGCTATGTAAAGGGATGGGTTTTCAACGGGTTGAGATTGAGTGTGATTTAGCAGTAGTGGTAAATTGGTTAACACACAGTTTATGTAAGATTTGGTACTTGTGGGATTATTGGGATGAGTTATTAAAGTTGCTTAGCGGCATCAGTGTCACTATCTCTCATCAGTATGGAGAAGCTAATAGAGCAGCAGATCTTCTAGCCAGACAAAGGGTGGATGGCCTCACGAAGAGATACATGCACTTAGACCAAATACCAAAACTGTTAAGAGGTATTATTCGTATGGACAAGATTGGTTTTCCCAACATTAGGCAATAGTTGTGCTGTTGATGTGTTAATTTTTATTTGCTTGATTATAGCTTTTATAGATTCTTGGCTATTATGTTGTTTTGTTGGATTGTTGACACAGTACGGTATTCCTCCGCCACAAGTTAGGGGTGATTGAATAAAGTTTTATTTCCGGTTAAAAAAAAAGTGCATGGGATTCCTCCAACCATTGAAACTAATGTAGAAGAATTAATGCATATAATGGAAGATAGATTCAACTCAGTATACTCGTTGAAAAAGTAAGATTAAGTAATATTGGCGACTAGTGTAACTTATTATCGTGCTTCAGGCATTGAAATGGTCACATGGTTTAATGAAGTTTCTGCAGTTGTGTTGGTTGAACTTTCAGCAACAAATAAATCTCTTTATGTGAAAAAACCAGATTGTTTAGCTTCAGGCAACACACATTCATTCCCCAACATCAATACTAGTGAAGACATGCTTGGCCTATCTTCTGGACATTGTTGAACTCATAACAGTCCCACATGAATTGATCGCTGCACTTCTGATAAATAGTCTGAGATGCCAAGGTAAGCATCAACTAATTCCAAAGATCTGCCCTCTCTATAAAGCATCCATGCCTGCACTAATTGAACTCATTTAAGAGGACAATTATTTGAATCCAAGTGCCAAAAGGACTAACTTCGTTGCAGTGAACATAGAAATATATATTGTACTTACATGTCCAAGAAGGTTATGGTGATGATCACTGTGAGAAAATCCTGTTTCTTTTTCCACTCACAATCTCAAGCACTAGAACACCAAAGCTAAATATATCTGATTTTACTGAGAATAGGCCATCTATTGTGTATTCTGGTGACACATAGCCGCTACATAGAAAAAATTGCTAGGAAATTAAGTGGCTGGGCAATCAATAGAAGAGTATTTATTATATTATGGCATTAAGATTCTTACTACATTCCAACTACTTGACTTGTGTTTGCTTCAGTCTCGTTTCCTCCAAAAATTATAGCCATGCCCAAGTCTGATATCTTTGGATTCATGTCAGAGTCTAGCAAAATGTTGCTGACTTTGAGGTCTTTATGGATGATTCTGAGACAAAAGTCTTGATGAAGATACATAAGGCCCCTGGCAATGCCATTTATAATGTGGAAGTGCTTTGGCCAATCAATCACTGTACTGCCAATTGGATCTACGAAAAGTTTATCTTTGTCATGAGAATAATATGTCTGTTGGATAGTTAGAAGTCATTTCCAATGTATAACTGAATATCTTCAAGCATTAGTTGCATGAAACTACGCCCCTGATTGACCTCCTTTTTTTAGATAGGGGTTTTTGGAGAATGTGCAGTTAAAAAATAAGGAAAAATGTTGGGTTTACGTGTAAAATTATTTTATGAGAGAATATGTGGAATAAAATGATTTTTGGAAAAATGAGTTCATGGAAAAATAGGAGCTCATACAATGGCTCTATTTTATATTTGCTTCGAAAATCTTTGCTTATGGATTTGAAAAATATCTATTAATATCCCTTATGCCATTATGTATAACTCTACTATAGATAGAATTTTCTTTGAACTTATTGTACAAGATGAATATTTATTACCAAATAGAATGAAGTCTAGACTTCTGTTAGGCATGGATTCATAAATCAAGATCTTTTCCTCCATGTGAATGCAGCATCCTAGAAGCTTCACAAGATTTCGATGCTGAAGTTTAGCGATACAGATAACTTCATTCTTGAATTCAACAAGTCCTTGGTGGGAAGTTCTTGATAGCCGTTTGACAGCAATTTCCTGCCCGTCTTCCAGTATGCCTTGTTTCAGAACATATTTATGTAAAAATCAGGCATTTTGTTTATAATGATTGATAACATGATAAGGCTCATGTCTCACATTTTTGTTAATAGTCACGGGTTATTTTTAAATGGTCACAACACAGGTCACAAAATATATTGCACATGGCTCAAGATTTTGTTCATCGTTACAGATTATTTTCAAATGGTTACAGCACAGGTCACATGGGTTGTTTGTACGTGGCTCAAATTTCTTGTTAATGGTCACAATTTAATTTCAAATGGTCACTCGATTATAACTTGTTCACAATTTATTTACAGGTCACATATTTCCAAATTAGTTGGTCACAGATTTTTTAATTGTCACATATAAAAAATTTTGTAAGTCAAAATTAATTCATTGATCACATATTTCGAAATTTATATGTCAAACGGTTATGGATTTCCAAACTAATTGGCCATATATTCTTTCATGATCGTAGATTATATAATTTTTAGGTCACAGAAAACAAAATGATTGGTCACAAATTAATCAACACCCCACTTCCACATCCGTTCATGACCCACCACCTTGACCTCACACAACACCTTGTCCAAGCCAACCACCGTACACATCACCGTACCCAAGCCAACAACCGCATGATCTGTCACCGCCACTATCAGTCCAACATACCTGTCAACCACCACTAACACAACCTCACCATAAGCGTCACCGTCAACACAGCCTAACCCATACTCCACCATCCTACAGCCCCACTCTACTCCACTCCACTCCACGCGGTGCCACCGCTACCAACACCAATGGCGCCTCCACCACCACCACCACAAAACATCGTCAACACCACCACAAGACTACCAAGAAATATCGACGCACTACAACAAATCACCAAAAATCACAGCAACAAACAAACTGTTGTAGCGCGCGGTGCCACCACCATCAACACCAACGGCGCCTCCACCACCGCCCACCACAAAATTAGGGTAGCGCCACGAGCTGTAAATTAGGGTAGAGATGGGAGGGAGGGGGAGGAGAAGGGAGGAGAGGAGGGAGAAGGAAAATGGTTATATGTTGCAACTTTTGTAGAATTAGGAAAAGTTTTTAACTTTTCCTATTACAAGTTTTGTTTAATTATTTGTCGATTATAAATAAATTTAATTGGGACATTGATCATTTAGGGTGATCTAGGTACATTTTACTGCAAAAAATATAGTTAGTCACGACTACAATAATTATAACAATATAATAGTATATGTAACATAAATGCAACTAATCAAGATATATATAGTATATATATATGTATATATGATAATCACAAACATTAAGAATGCGGCGTTATAAGAATATTTTGGAGACTATTGCTGCTGGAATTTGAAGCATCGCCATACTAGAAAATTCTATTATCGACAATAGCACCTATAAATACAAGATGGTTGTGTGTATTGTGTACGTAAGAGTAAATTGAGAAAAAGAGGTTTCCAATTGAGAGAAAAAGCTTTGTATTATGAGTGAAAGAGTCCTTTGATAAATAATATTATATTGTTTAGTGGTTTTAGTTGGATGCACATCGTGTTAGTCCACCTTGATAATAAATAAAATTATTATTATTTTTAATTTAAACTCTACAATATTGACGTTCAATAATCAGCTCTTGTTACATATGCTTGCATAATCATTTTACCTTAGATGAAAACATTAACCATCCTTTTTTATTTTGCATAGTTTGGGATTCGAACCCTTGGCTCGAATGGTTGTGCTACCAGAATTTAAATGAAAGGCGTGTTTCTGTTGAATGCATTTTATCTTATTGACATTCATTGTGATGATGACACGGGGAATTATCCTGACCGTTGGCTGAATATTCTGGAAGACTCTTTATCTACCTTGGACTTTTTATTCTGACCAATTCAACACATTTCTCTATCTTCTGCTTTGAGAGAAACACTTAGGTTTTTTTCTTCGTGATCTCTCTGTTGAAATTTCTGATTTAAGGCTGTATCTTAGGGTTTTTCTCTCTGATTGTGATATTTTGTGTAAATATCTGTGGAAACTAAGGTTCTACTGTAAGTTGTGTATTAGATATGTTCAGTAGAGTTTCTTGGTGATTCTTCCTAGACTTGTTCGTGTATTTGAGAGATAAGTGTTCTGGTTTTATATATGTGTATTGATTAAACGATTTGTAACCTTCGTTGCCAATTTGGGGCTGTATAGTGCAATTGCGCATTATCCAAATTTGTTGGATGCTCAACGGGGGATGCAGGTTTCGTCCTAGATCTGTTCATGTATTTGTGAGATAAGCGTTCTTTCTCTATCTTTTGTACTATTTGAATGATTTGTACCCTTCGTTGCCAATTTGGGGCTGTATAGTACAACTGAGCATAATCCAACTTGTTCGATGCTCAGCTGGGGATGTAGGCGTTGGATGTAGTCGCCGACCCTCCGGGGCTGAGGCTAAAACAATTCTTGTGTTGATTCTTTAATTTTTGCAATTTATGTTTTCTGTTCTTCGATTTAATATCGTGTATCCTAGCTTTTCAGTGGTATCAGAGCCTTGACTGAAGAACATGATGCCTGGATCTTGGAGAAAAGTGATAGATCTGCTCCAGATCTGAAATTTTTGGAACTGCTTCAAAGTAGATTGGAAAATATTCGTGTTCTTTAAAAATTGCTTGGCGAGATCTTTTAATTTCTGCAAATTTATTTTTTCAGAAATTAGGGTTCCTTGTTTTTCCCTTGATTTACCATACACCACAACCCCCTTGAGATTAATCTTTGTCCAAAGGCTCCTGTGAGACCTTGGGAATCTGAGATAAATCAAAAACGGGTGTGTACCTGGAGAATCTTGTAGGAGGAACTATTGGAACATAGTTGTTTGATCTCTGTTACTGTGTTTTCATTGAGTTCTTGATCTTTGTGATCTTGTGAGTACGTGATACTCTGTGACGTTGTGTAACATAATTGTGCTTTCATTACTGTTTCTCTATGAACTTGTGAAAACTGTTTTTCCCATCTTTGATCCTTGTTCTGATGTAACATGGCTTTTGCTAAATTTGAAGTAAGTCAATTTGATGGTATGATTGATTTCAATATGTGGAGTCAAAAAATGAAGGCTATTTTGATGCAAATGAAATGTACAAAGGCTGTGACTGATAATTGGCCTGCTAAATTACCTCTTGCTAAAAGAACTGAACTGAACTTGATAAAATTGCATGGATTACTATCTTCTTATACTTGTCTGAAAATGTGATAAGAAGTATTGGGGAGACTAAGATTGCCTCTGAATTATAGACCAAACTGCATGCTAAGTATGTGACTAAGACCACTCCAAATAAATGATGCTTGATAAAACAAATTTTCTCTTTCAAAATGGATCCCTCCGTTGATTTGGATGAAAACTTAAACAGATTTACAAAACTTACCCAAGACTTGGCTAACTGTGATGAAAAACTTTCAAAAGATCAGATGATTGTAGTCTTTAAACTCCATTAGTGACAGATATAAGGGCATCAAGGTTACTCTAGAGTATGGTAGGGAGGACCTCACCATAGACATTATAATAGATACTTTAAGGAATAAGGCTCTAGAGATAAAGTCTGAATCTGGAAATAATGACATTGGAGATGGTTTATGGTAAAAGTAAAAAGTTTTCGAAAATCAAATTATCATCCTAAACCTTTTATTGAAAATAAAAATAGATTTAATGATAAGCATAAGT